ACTTCCCGGGGGGAGGCCTGCGGCTCAGAGCAGGGCCCCCCCGCCGAGTGAGGTGAGTGGCTGCCCCCTGGGGGAGATTGCTCAAGCCCCTCTCGCCTCCCCCCACAGCCTGGAGCCAGCGCCCCTGTCTGCCCATCCATCCGCACATCCCACGTCCTGTCTGCCCCTCCCTCGGGCTGGGGCCAGAGCTCTGTCAACAGCCATCAGGAAAGGGGGATGCCCATGGCTGTGAGTCTGCTGGGGCGGGACTAGGCGGCCACTCACCGGGAGGCCACGGAGGCCAACGCCACCTGGAAGGCCACTCACTCCTGCCTCTCCCTGGAGGGAGATGGAGGAAGAGATGGAGGTCTGCACCCAAGGTACTCTCAGGGCCCTGGAGATGGGGCTCTGGGTGTGCATGGTCAGGCAGTCCCCGGGGGAGGTACTCTCAGGGCCCTGGAGATGGGGACTCGGGTGTGGGTGGTTAGGGAGTCCCCGGGGGAGGTACTCTCAGGGTCCTGGAGATGGGGCTCCGGGTGTGCATGGTCACGCAGTCCCCGGGGGAGGTACTCTCAGGGTCCTGGAGATGGGGCTCCGGGTGTGCATGGTCACGCAGTCCCCGGGGGAGGTACTCTCAGGGTCCTGGAGATGGGGCTCCGGGTGTGCATGGTCACGCAGTCCCCGGGGGAGGTACTCTCAGGGTCCTGGAGATGGGGCTCCGGGTGTGCATGGTCACGCAGTCCCCGGGGGAGGTACTCTCAGGGTCCTGGAGATGGGGCTCCGGGTGTGCATGGTCACGCAGTCCCCGGGGGAGGTACTCTCAGGGTCCTGGAGATGGGGCTCCGGGTGTGCATGGTCACGCAGTCCCCGGGGGAGGTACTCTCAGGGTCCTGGAGATGGGGCTCCGGGTGTGCATGGTCACGCAGTCCCCGGGGGAGGTACTCTCAGGGTCCTGGAGATGGGGCTCCGGGTGTGCATGGTCACGCAGTCCCCGGGGGAGGTACTCTCAGGGTCCTGGAGATGGGGCTCCGGGTGTGCATGGTCACGCAGTCCCCGGGGGAGGTACTCTCAGGGTCCTGGAGATGGGGCTCCGGGTGTGCATGGTCACGCAGTCCCCGGGGGAGGTACTCTCAGGCCGTGGAGATGGGGCTCTGGGTGTGCATGGTCAGGCAGACCCCGGGGCAGGTACTCTCAGGGCCCTGGTGATGGGGCTCCGGGTGTGCATGGTCAGGCAGTCCCCGGGGGAGGGACTCTCAGGGCCCTGGAGATGGGGACTCGGGTGTGGGTGGTTAGGGAGTCCCCGGGGGAGGTACTCTCAGGGTCCTGGAGATGGGGCTCCGGGTGTGCATGGTCACGCAGTCCCCGGGGGAGGTACTCTCAGGGTCCTGGAGATGGGGCTCCGGGTGTGCATGGTCACGCAGTCCCCGGGGGAGGTACTCTCAGGGTCCTGGAGATGGGGCTCCGGGTGTGCATGGTCACGCAGTCCCCGGGGGAGGTACTCTCAGGGTCCTGGAGATGGGGCTCCGGGTGTGCATGGTCAGGCAGACCCCGGGGGAGGTACTCTTAGGGCCCTGGAGATGGGGCTCCGGGTGTGGGTGGTCAGGGAGTCCCCGGGGGAGGTACTCCCTGCACGGCTGGTCCTAGAGCCGCTGGGGACTTGCATGCTGGGGTGGGGCCACGAGGGTGTCAGTACTCACTGGGGGTCCAGGGAGGCCTTTGCCCTATAAAGCCAAACAGGGGGGTCAGCGCTTGCTAGGCACGGGACAGAAATGGCCCTGCCACACCCCCCCAGGGCAGGTCAGGGGCGTCCTGGGAGAGGCCTCAGGGGATGGGCACCTTGTGCAGGAGGCCCTGAGCAGACAGGACAGGCCCAGATGGGGCTGGGGAGGCCAGAGCAGCTGCGAAGAGCAGCAGAGGAGGGCCGGGGCAGCCTCTGGGGCTCTCGGAGACCACCCCCCCAGCAAAACTCCCCTCAGAGAAGTACTCACTCCCAGTCCAGGCGGCCCCGGGGGTCCCAGACTTCCCTGTGGAAAGCAAATGGGTCAGGAGCTAGCAGGGGCCAGTGCCACCCTGCCTTGGCGGTGCCGTCCCACAGGAAGATGCCCCAGTGGCCTCGGAGAGACCCCGTGCCAGGATTCCAGCGAGCGGTGTGGCCAGGAGAGGCTCCCTCCTGGAAGGGCTGCTGAAGATAGGCCCCCGGAAGGGCAGAGCCGGGTCCCCACAGGTCTGAGCCACACAGCAGTGACCCGAGGGCCCTTTCCCCAGAAAGCCCTCCCCACAACCAACCAGCAGAGGCCACTGAGGGTGGGGCTCGCCCCTGCAGGGTCACCCCAGTGCACCTGTCCTGCAGCCTACTGCTCACCCACTCCCCACGTGGTGGCCAGAGGGCCCCATCCCAGGTGCCCCTCAGCAGCCACCAGCCTCGCTCATTTCCAAGCTTCCAACTCAGAACACCTCCACCGGCAGTCCCCAGAGGCAGGGCTCGGCCCTCGGGTCCCTGGGTGAGTGGCACAGTCACCCAGGAGCAGAGCCCGCGGAGGGTGGTCAGGCTTCGACTTGGTGGCTGGTGGTCATGGCCCCTGATGGCCTTTCCCTCCAGAGGGCACAGGGGCAGTCACTGCCCCAGCCACCAGGGGAAGGCCACTGCGGGGCTGGCCATCCAGGACCCTTGTCTGCCTGCTCGTGCCCCTCTGGCCCCAGAACTGCCGGCTCCATGGCCTGATGGATGCAGGGAGCTCCTTCCAGCCACTCCTTGGGGACTTACCTCTGACCCGGATGCAATGCAGGCACTTACCCGTTCTCCAGGAGCGCCCTTGGGTCCAGGGGGGCCATCTGGCCCAGGCAGACCCTGGGGAGAGAGGGGAAGGAGGTCTTCCTGAGTTAAGCCCAGCCAGGGAGGCAGAGAAGACCCTCGGGCTGGCGCCTTCCTCTGCCCGTCCACCTCACACCCAGTACACCCAGAGATTGGGGGGAGCGCTCCAGGCTTTGACCCTGAGATGACCAACCAGGACCAGTCCATGGCACAGGGGCCAGGCTTGGGCGAGCAGAGGGGCCTGACAGTGGGCATTTGTCCCTGCACTTGGAAGAGCTGGCAGGGCTGCGCCCCCACTGCGAGATGGCTCTGTCCGTGCCAGGTGCCCGCAGGGTCTGGATGAAGGCCAAGGGACCCTGCTGGGGACTTTGGGGCTTCTACCAGGACAGGCTTTCTTGCTTGGGTAGGCTCGGCTGGAGAGCGGCAATTAGAGCCGGAGCGGGGGCACACTCACGTCCACGCCCGGCAGGCCCGGCAGTCCCGGTTCTCCAGGCTCCCCTGGCTTCCCTGGGGCCCCTTTCAGTCCCTGCACGGGAGGAAAGGCTGAGGGGGATGGTGGCACGGCCACTTCTGCCCTTGGCAAGGAAGAGGCGTTCCCACTGGGCACTGCCAACAGTCTGAGCCGGCCCTGCTCACTGCTCACTGCCATCCAGAGGCCACCCTCCCAGCTGGGCCTCCCCGCCACCCCGCTGGTCCCAGGAGGCTGCTTCTGCCCACCCTGCCAGGTCTGTGGATAAGCATCCAGTCACTTCGGCCTCCCTGGCTAGAGGCCCTCAAGTCCCTTTGTGGGACCCCTGTGTGACAGCCAGGGTCTCTAATCCCAGGAGCTCCGTGAGACAGGCCCTCACCGGCTCCCGAGCACTGCTGTGTGGCCTCTGGCCGGAGACCTGCAGGGCTGTACTACCCCTTCCAGGCTGGCCCAGGCATTGGGCCAAAAAATGCTTGAAAGTCAGACGCTACCCAGAGACACAGCGCGCCCCTGTGACCCCCTCCCAGCCCTCCTGGCACCGGCCCCTGCTCCAAGACTCTCCCCTCAGGCGACCCTGGGCCCAGCACTGACAGACAGGGCCTCAATGACCCTTCTGTTTCCCTTGCACACCCCTCCCTTCTTGGCTGGAAAGTGCTCTCCCCTCACCAGCTAGGAACACTCACCAGGGGCCCAGGTAGGCCCGGAGGACCAGCTTCTCCCTGCAGAGAGGAGACATGCTCACTGAGCCCCTAGATCAGGGTGCCCCTGGAAACCCCACCTTAGGAGTGCAGTGCAAGGCCAGCCTCTAGGTCAGCCCTGGGGCTCCAGCCAAGGAGATGGGATGGGGCCCCAGCCCTTGGTCTACACCTGGGGCCCCTTCCCGCCACGGGCCAGTGCCGAGGAGAGGGGGCATGGACGTCCGGCTTAGCCCCTGCAGGGCACACGCGGCACTGGGGAACTGCTTTGAGGGCCCCCCAACCCCAAGCCCCGAGAGCGTTAGAAAGCAGGTCGTGGGTGTCCCGGTCCCATTTACTGGCAGCTCCTCGAATACCCAGTCCAGGGTGGGACCTCAGTCCCCAACCCTGCTGAGTACCTCCAGGCCCAGAACCCTTGGGGAGATGTGAGGCCAGGCCCAGGGGCCAATGCGGCTGCTCTAAGCACCAGCCGGTGGCGTGGCGGAAGGAGGGAGACTCAGGCCATCATGGCCAGCAGATTACTGGGGACACGGGAGTGGAGGACGGTCGAGGGGGCTCTTGACGCAGGGCAGCCCCCAACCCTCCACTTTCTCCGCAGGCCCTGCCAGAGCCCTGCCTTGTACTGGCTGGTGGGAGCTCGGGGACGGCCGCTGGCTGGAGGGGGGCTCAGGGGACGGTCTTTCTGCAGGAGGAGCAGGTTCAGGATTTTGCCCCGCCAGCATCGCAAGGCTACACTTGGAGGTCCACCCTGATGATGGTCCCCGGCTGGGCGACTCCCGAGCCCTCCCAGGCTGGCTTCAGCTCCCTGCATCTCTCACCCCACCACCCAAAGGGACATGCCTACACCTCCAGGAATCCAGGCCCTGGACACAGGAGCACGGGCCCTCGGACCCGAGGTGTGCCCTGGTGCACTTGTTTCAGGCCTGTACTTGCAGGGACCCTCCTCTCCTTCACGAACCCTGCAGGGCCACCCCAGGGGCAAGGTCTGGCTTCTCTGTTTCCGTCCCTCAAGGGGCGCTGGTCTCCATCTGGTCTGGGGGCTTGAGAAGGGAGAGCCAGAACCCTAGGACCCCCCCACCCTGCCCCATCGCCCACAACCAGACTCACATCTGTACCATCCTTGCCCGGCTTTCCTGGTGGGCCTTGGGGGCCTGGTGGGCCTGGAGGTCCCGCTTTCTGAAATGGAGAAAAGTTGTTAGAGCACCCCCTTTCCTGCAGTTGGTCCCCCACCCCTGTTGGACCCCAGGTCTGTCTGACCCAGTGTCCCCTCCTCCTGGTCTGGAGCAGCTCTGAGGCCTGTCACTGGGGTCCACAACCCCCACACCTCGGAGCCCCAGAGCCCGGTCATGGGGCCCAGTGCAGACGCTGCACTTGGCCAGGAGGGGCTGCGCCTGGTCCCGGGGAGCTGCTGGGAACAAAGGCGACATTGTGAGTCCCGCCAGCGGGCGGCAGCTCTGGTGGCTGCTGGAGCCTGGAGAGAACCACCAGCGGCCTGGAGTCCCCGGGCTCAACCCAACGGCGACAGCGACTCCAAGCTCCGGCGGCCGGGAGGGTTGTGGGGCCATGGGACTGCATCGGGGATGGCCTAGCCTGGGGCTGCGCTCACCCCGACTGTGGCTGCGCAGGCTGAGGTCCACCAGCAAGCGTTCATCCCCTTGCAGCCGGTAGTCGGTAGGAACCAGCGGGCCAGCGCGGGCTCACCTGCGCTGTGGCCACCGCCAGGATTTTTTTTAGCAGCAGGGCGAGGGTGTGCGCTCCGGCCATGGCTGTGCTTGCTCTGAGCGGAGCGGCGCACTGGGCGTGCAGGGCGGCGGCGGGCGGGGCGGCGGAGGTGGGCAGGAGGTGGGC